TCTGAGTTTTTGGGACCAAGTCTGAGTCCTTATTAAAAGCAAGCCTCCCCCCTCCAGAAAAAAAGAGGTGGGTGGGTTCTGAGTTACAAGTCAAGTCCAAGTCATTTAGGGGGTCAAATCTGAGTCGCATGAAGTCACCGGTGCGACTTAAGTCCGATTTGACAGCGAGTCATGCAACTCAAGTCCCCATCCCTGCTATATACCTATTTTTTAAAATGTGAAAATCAAAACCAAAATGCTCTGAAAGCCCAGTTTTAGTTTTGTTTTGGGGTACTGGGGGAAAACCAATATATATTAGCCGGGGCAGGTCTTTGCTGAGGGAGGCCATCAAGAGAGCCAAAAGGATTCTGCGGTTTGCCTTAAGGCTATAAGCAGCCCACAGACTGAACTCCACGCAATAAACAGACCCACACCTGTCCCTCTGAAAGTTACCTTTCCTAATGCAACAGAAGCCAAATGTGATAGACACTGCATTGCAGGGGTGGAGGACAAAGCTTACCGCCAGTAACAGAGTAAATATCTGAATTCTGTGGTTTATCATATAACAGCCTTCTCCACTCCCAGGGGATCAAAATCTGGTAGTACAGAGTGAATTTTTCCCCCCACACCCCTGTTGGTAAACAAGTCCCAATAATTCTTTTACATTCCAGAAACATAACAGAGTCTCCCAATCTAACACACTTCTAAATGTATTAGTCACAACGATTACCTTCTCTGCGTAAGAATGGAAGATCAAATTGATTTCTTGGAATAGGCCAGCTCATTCATTCCTGAGAGTGGAGAATCAATGGAAAGCTTTCTTCTGCAGCCTGCAATAGGTATGAAATAGGTTTATTGCATTGTAACAGCAGCCAGTTCTGCTGTAGCTTGAGATCCTCTCATTGTTTGTCCATTCCAGCCAAATAGAGGGACAATTATCCTGTCAAAGCTCTGTGGATACACATAACCTGACTGTTGAATATACTGTAATGGAAAATTAAACTGGCATAGGCAACTAGCTATCCTGAACAAGCTAACCAACCCCTTCATTTCTTTGAACTTAGGGCTATTTATACGTTCGAGGGCTTAATCAGTAAGACTAAAGCTGAATAAAAGAGCTTCTAGCTAATCAGGGCATCTCCAGCAACATCAAATTCATCTGGAAATGATTTGCACTGCAAACAAAAGGGTCATGACTACAGTACTCTCTCTCTCTCTGTGTGTATGTGTGTGTGTGTGTGTGTGTTTTGAGGGTCACATCATCCCTTCAATGGGGAAGCACTTAGCCCAACCTGTGATTAGCCACTTATGCACTAGCCATGACTCAAGCATCAGAGGTCCAGCTATTCCACCTAAGCCCAAAATATGTGTGTAGTTGATGAGCCTGTTGGGTGAACAATTTGCTACATACAAGTCTCCTGGTCTGTTTTATCAGCCTCAAAGTTTCTCAGCTAGTAATGTTCAAGTGACAAAAAAGATCCCTGTGTTGGCCTTCCATCCTCCAACTTGTTATGCTGTTGGGGGAGAAAACGGAGCTTGGGGAAGAAAGGATGAGCCCCGAGTAGGGTAGATAATCTATCCCCTGTCTGTATGTTCTCACTGCACAATCTCTCCTTGTGGGCTAGTCTGTTCCTCGTTTCTTTCCTGACCAGTACTGTGTTAAGAAATAACCCCGTGGGGTGATTATATTGGAGAAGTAGTGGGCAAGGAAAAAGTTAAACACTGCTGTCTCCCATCCATCCCCCTACATAAATTCTGCACAGTCATCACCAACAACTGAGAAACATGTCATGTGTAACTCTGCGTATACTGTGAGTCACGGCCACATCGTGTCACAATCCAGGTATATGCCTTCTGTATCTACTCACGCTCCCCCATGAGTATGCAAAGAAGGCAGAGAATGTCAGCTGACCACAAAGACTTTTATAAGCTGATTTCCTTTTTTTCAGTGTCATTTGACCCCTAAACAAGTCACTCCTAGAAGTCGCAGCTTAATTACAGACACTAAAACCTGTTCTCAAGTCACACACTCCACCCTCTACCATACAACAAGCTTTTTCTGGCAGGCGTATGCTGCCATGACTGATCCTAAATGTTGAACCTGAGACATTCACCCACCAGCTGCCATGATTTCTGTCCACTAAAATGCACACATCACAAAAGAATAATCTGTGCTTTCTGGGGAAGCATAAATGGAAAGCAATCTTTAGACAAGTGTAGGCAAAGTGTAGCCCAAGAAACACATAAGGCTTCGAAGGCTGTTTTTGTAGCCCTGAACGTTGTGCGATTTCTTTCATGTTGGAATACAATGTCTTGCAGATGCCATCTCCAAAAAGGAAACTGAATTTTCAGCAACATTTGGTTTTGATCAAAGTTCCCTCTAAGGTGGGTGCCTATGCATGCGCACACAACTTTGCCTCCCTCTAAGCAGGACTCCTCCACGCACCCACAGTAATTGTTTTCAGACCCTTTGGTTGTGGTTGCAACAGAACCCCACGCATACAAGTGGTGCCACACAAATGCAGGGCAGCGTCACATGTGCAAACAGCAGAGCCCCAACCAGTGGGACTGAAAATTAGAGGGAATGTTGGTTCTGTTGCTATGTAGTTCCTATTTGTTGTCAGAACATGTAGGGGCCCTGATAAGTCCTGTGAGTAAAGAACTGGATTTGGAGCCCTCCAAAATGGCCTTCTTCCACCTTGAGACTGATCTTTGCCTTCCTTTTGCCTATTCAGGAACAAAGGAACTGCCTCCAACCCAAATAGGAAATGAAACAGGCATTGCTGCCTTGATGTAAAACGAGTCAGGTGACTTCATCCAGAGGCCTATCAAGAATCTTCATAGAATTGTGTTGTTGTTTTTTTACTGTTCCTGACCAGACAAGGAGAACATGGCCCTAACAGAAGGCAATTGGAGATATCTAATGGTAAACAGAAAGATAAAAATCCAGCCACAATTCTCTTCCTCCAACTTCTAAAATACTTCTTATATCTTTTTTTAAAACATAATATTGGAACACCCCTTTTCCATAAGATTGCCAGAGATTATTATTTGGTTTGTGTAAAAATAGGCATCCTCAATTTGCTTGTTCTTTGTGGTTTCCGATGATTAGTTTTTCACCAGAGCTCAAAAAAAAAAAGGGGGGGGTTACTTTTGAAAGCTCCCAGAAACACCTTGCCATCGTGGCTGTAAGATTCTGGGAACTGTAATAAAAAAAAGGAACTCTGTAATGTCTTTAGATTTTAGAACTGCGGAGCTGGAAGGGACCCTGTGGATCATCCAATCCAGCCCCTGTCAAGGAGGCACAAGTGGGGAATCGAACTCCCAGCCTCTAGCTCTGCAGCCAGATGCTTAAACCACTTTTGGCTTGTCTGTCTCAGAGGCCAGAAAGGGATGCTAGAACCGGCCTGTTAAGAGTTAGACCTGAAACCTTGTTAGTGTTGCAGAGAGCTGATGCAGCACTCTTTCCCATTCGTCTTAAAACAGACTTGAAAAGAAACCTGACCTAAAGACCAATCACTAAACAAAATAAGCTAATTTTCATGACCCCAGAAGTGAAAGGAGCTTGTGCTGTGACAACCTATGTGCTCATATTTTTTTTTAAATGTGTCTCTTTTCCAGTTATCTCTGCAGTCGTTTTTTTTGCTTTAGACATTGCTGTCTGCTAGGCTTAGATATACCGAAATAACGGTCCTTAATTATTAGAGGAATAACAAATATGAGAATTTTGTGTCCTAGAAGTACTTCTTAATCTACCGTCCACAGGAAATCCACCTGATCAGCAGACGGCCTGCTTAACCGTTTACTTAAATTGTATATACACTGGTATGGAATTTCGTAGATTCGGATGCAAGAGCCGTCATTGGCTTGTTCCTCCGAGCAGCTGCGTTTTGGTGTGGGAAACAGGGAGAGATAGGGTTACAGCTGGCCTGTGCACACTTTGCTGAATCAGCAGGCTGTCTCCGCGCTCTGGCAGGCTTCCTTCATCAAGGAGCATGCAGCAGGCGCAGCGGCAGCCACAGTTCCAGTACTGTGTTTGTGAAGATGTGGCCGTGGAGGAGGGAGACAGAGAGAGACAGCAAGACAAGGGCTTTTATCTGTTTATAAGCCAAGAGTCTTCCGAGGCACGAATGCTTTAAAACCTGTAGAGGAGCAGAGAAGATGCAGCATCTTTTGAGATTAATAGCCTGTCCACAGTGTAAAATTTGGTGCAATCCAGGCCAGTGTTCAAAAGGTCTTTATCTTCAGAACAATCTATTTTAACTCTCTCTCTTAAGTTGGCATCTGTCTGCAAAGGCTGAACAAAGAGCTATTTTGCATCTCAAGGAATGGTCTCAAAAAGACTGCATGCCCTAGCCCTATGCCAGAATGATACGGGCCAGCTCTTAAAGGGGAAGGACGGATAATTTTCAGTAGAACTGCAAGCCGACGAGGTCTTTCCCTCCCCCATGCCGAACAGTGTTATAAGGGAGCCATACATTGTAACTGTATGCCAGTGTGGACAGACTCTAAGAGTGCTATTTCTCAATGGATTTACAAATGTTATTCTTTCGACTGCTTCACGGCATATCTGCGGCACTACCTGGAAAAATCTGTTGTTTTGAACTACCATTTGTAGATTCTCCAACCTGGTTGGGGCTATAATCTTGTGACAGAACTGCTGCAGAAACTGGGGGTGGTGATGGTGGTTTGCACCAATTTTTTGAAACCCCTTCTACAGCGCTATTCGTCACATGAAATGTTCACTAAGTATCCAAACATCCCAGGCTCTATGCTATTGAATCACAGATTCACGCATGAAATTGCAGGGAACACAACATGTCAACTGACCGGAATTCCCCCAAGGGAAACAACAGCATTAGAGAGGGAGAGAGATGCAGGCACCCACACGCACGCGCACGCATGCACACATGGGCAGGGGGGGAGAGAGAGAGAACTTCCCCTTGGAAGAAGCCATGTGATTTGTGGGACTACTTTTTATTCAACCAGGAAGGCTTCTCGCTGTCCCAGGCGCACACGCAATGCCAGACCAGAGGTCGACCCAGATCTGAAACCTCGGAGATTGCTCACAAGGACTTGACTCCTGCTGGGCTGCCCCTGGGTTGCTTTCTTGGGGTGGTCGCTGGTGACAGCAGAGAGTGCCTGGTTTGGATTAATAAAGCCACAAGACACCCAGTTGTCTTTAAGGTATCTTTTTTTAAAAATGTTTGTTGTTATTCCAAATTTGCCTTTACTTCTTCTTTATCTACTACTTTTAATATTATATTAAGCCTTTTGGTATCTAAAACAAAGGTGGAGAATTCTTAATCAGAAAGTGTTTGGGCGCCTCTGGGCATCTGCATACATTTCTCTACACTGCTGAATAGCTGCATCCACTGCCCCCCCAACCCATTAAAATCAAGAAGTGTGGCTAACAAGGGAAATCTAGTGTCAGCATGCAAACAAAGGGAGGGAGTTGAAGGAGCAAGAGAGGGGTGCTGTTATATTCTTCGCCTTAAAGGTTAAGGTAAAGGTTCCCCTTGACAATTTTTTGTCCAGTCGTGTTTGACTCTAGGGGGCGGTGCTCATCCCCGTTTCCAAGCCATAGAGCCAGCGTTTTGTCCAAAGACAATCTTCCATGGTCACATGGCCAGTGCGACTTAGACACAGAACGCTGTTACCTTCCCACCAAAGTGGTTCCTATTTATCTACTTGCATTTGCATGCTTTCGAACCGCTAGGTTGGCGGGAGCTGGGACAAGCGACGGGCACTCACTCCATCGCGTGGATTCGATCTTACGACTGCTGGTCTTCTGACCCTGCAGCACAGGCTTCTGCGGTTTAGCCCGCAGCGCCACCAAGTGCCTTATTATTCCTCGCCTTAGCATGCCACTATTTATACACAAGTGGTAATTTCTTCAAATCTCCTTGCTCTTTTTCTTGTTATTCCCACACAACAGAGTCAATTTGGCACTGCAGCCCAGGCAGTTTTAAACAAAAGATAATCGCCCAACTGCTATCTTAATCACCTACTCCCACACAAACTGTGCCCTTCTCCTGGCCACGGCTCAGACTCTTCCTGTGCTTTCATATCCGATTGTGGTTATGTGCTGTCAAGCCGCCCTTGGCTTATGGCGGCATGAATCTCCAAAATGTACTGTTCTCAACAGCCCTGCTCAGCTCCTGCAGACTCAAGCCTGCAGCTTCCTTTAAGGAGTCAGTTCATTTCTCATGTGGTCTTCCTCTTTTCCTGCTCCCTTTCACCTTGCCCAGTGTTATTGTCTTTACCAGAGAATCTTTCCTTCTCATGATGTCTTCAAAGTAGGACTGCCTCTGTTTCATCATTTTTGCCTCCAGAGATAGTTCGAGCTTGATTTGATTTAACACCTATTTGTTTGTCTTTCTGGCAGTCCAGGATATCCACAAAGCTTCCCTCCAGCACCACCACATTTCAAATGAGTCAATTTTTTTCCTGTCCGCTTTCTTAACTGTCCAGCTTTCAAACCCATAGACAGCAATCGGAAATACAAGAGTGTGCATGATCTTGGTCTCCAGTGACACATCCTTACAATTGATTATCTTTACTAATTCCTTCATTGTTGCCCCTTCTAGTCTCAGTCTTCTTCTGATTTCTTGGCTACAGTCTCCATTTCTGATTACTCATCAGCAAAACAGATCAATTCTGTAAGCAAATGTTAAACCAATTAGCACCTAACTTAAGTCACCCATTAATGGCATTTAGCAATTAATAGCGGATACACATCCACAAGACCCTGCTGTTCTCTTCTTCATCTTTAAACTGGAACTGTTCTTCAAACAGAAGATGCCTTGAAACAGAGGACTGTGCTATTTAAAGCCTAGTCAAACTACAATCAATTAATTGGTATGTATCTTTTAAACGGAGTCAACGGAGACATCTGGTACAAACAACTGGCATTACCTAATGAGAAAAGGACCTCCAGAGATGGTAGGGAGGCAGAGATGAGAAGACATAGTTTGTGGAATTACAGCTCCTACCATAACTGTGGGATCTTGGGAATCCTTGTCCAAGGAAAAGCTCCTTTCTTATTACTATATGAAAATCTATTTGTTTAGAATAGAATAAAATCTATTTGTTACATTTATATCCCGCTTTTCCTCCAATGAGCTCAATGTGGACTAGTTCAGTGGTTAGAACAGCTGATGTGAAGGCTTCTGGGAGCTTTACTCCAAGAACATCCGGGGACCCAAGGTTGGGAAACACTGGCCTGGGTGATCCCTGACTCCCTACTTTATCTTTAGAGCAGTCCTGTCAGGTGGGTAGATCCGGCTGAGAGTGACTAGCCCTGTGAGCTTCATGGCTAATCCAGGATCTGAACCAAGTGCCGATTCATCACTCTAGCTGCCTAGAGTGGTCGTAACTGACCAGATAGGCAGGACATAAAATAAATAAATAAATAAAATAAAATAACCACTACACTTTGCTGGCAATTTCCCTATCATCTCTTTTTAGAAACCTTGACAATGAAGCAAGAGCCAGGCCCGTTCAAAAGTGAAAGCTGGAATCCGGAGACGGAGGACATGAGGTTTAGTAAGACTGCAGTCATCACTCTCGCTGTCTAGCTCCCTAATTTGCCACAGGTGGAGTCAGTCTCCCTGGAGAGGGGCTGTGGGCAGTTGCAGCAGCCGGCTGGTTGAAGGGGGCAAGGTTTCCTTCCTAAACTGGCTGAAAGAACTGGGTAAAAAGAAAAACAAACCCTGACTTTTTAGAAATCAAACACAACCTTCGGGAGCAAAACTTTTTTTTAAAAAAAAAGGCGTAAGAAATTCTTATGGAAGATGTCTACCAGCCACAAGAAGCCAAAATGCTGCCTGAGGATCTTTTTAAAAGAATAATTGGAACTGGTTCCTTCTGACTCTGCACAAGATCGCCCACAGCTTCTGTACATGATGCTTGAGAAGCCAGGTTGGAATAATACTCTCAGAAATGCAGAGCTGGAAGGGACCCCCCTGGATCATTGAGTCCAGCCCATCAACTCTGTACATGCTTATTAGAGAGTAAGACCCGCTGAATTCAGTGTGAGTTACTCTTGAGTATACATGCATAGAAGTGGGTTCCTGCCTTGAGTATGGGGCTGGACTCAGTGCCCTTATAGGCCTCTTCCAACTCCATTATTCTATCACTCCACTTTCCTCTTACAATTGTTCTTTAATATTCCATGATGAAGAGGATTGTAATTCCAAAGATACATCCATCTCATGTTTTATTTGTTAGTGACATGGGTATTCTGCCTTTCCTCCAGTGAGTTCAAGGTGGTATACACAGTTCTGCTTATTTCCACAATATCCCTGTGAGGCACGCCAGCTTAACAGCTTAGTGAGGAACTGAACGTGGATCAACCAAGTCACAGTCCTACCTTCTAAGCACTACACCACATTGGTTCGCCCGTATTTTTTTTTAAAAAAACAGCATTTGATACATACTGTACTTTGTCTAGTTTTCATTTTCTCTTATCTTCCCGATCTATTCCTGTTCAGAGAGCTTAGGGAAAATCATTTGGCCTTTGAGGAGCAATACGTAATTTTTAAAATGGCCCAGTTCACAATTTTTAACAGCAAACTATATGGTTCTACAAATGTAAATGTAGCACCTCAGAACAGCCAGAATTATTGGTGTCCTTTTTCCCCTTTTTCTTTTTTTAATGTAAATGAGTCTTTATTTTGCACAAAGCACGTAAAATGTATTTCATATGTTTTACATTATACTGGCAAATCTCACTGCTTCATGATAAATAAACTAGCACTATTTGAGGTCCATGTGTAGCTAGAGAAGATGGAGGAACGAATACGTAGCAAGGTGAGAAAAGGAAGAAAAGAAGTTGGAAGTAGAGGTTTAGAGACAATCAAACTTTACAGAAGCAGGCAAAATGAAACAAAAGAAAAGCCCTACAACACAATACTTTCAAAATAGTTTCTCCCTCCCAGGCTTCCCAGTGCCCCTCTATAGAGATAGAGCTCCTCCCCATGACTCACACCCTCATGTCTGAGTGAGTCTTGCCGCAGGCAGTCCCAAGCACTTCATCAGGAAGGTCATTAAGAGGAAAAGTAGCTTCACAATTGTGCTCGCTCTTATTAAAAAGCTACATTTACATGCAAGAATTTTATTCCATGTTTCTTAACAGCAAGAGTAACTTTCAGTACGACCCACATTTATAACTATTGAATTAATGAACCTACTTTACTAATACCAATAAAAAAAAATGACTTCTATTCTGTAAAATTATCTCATCTTAACCAAATAAAGTGATCTGGGTATATGCGGATCTCTTTATTTATTTGTTTACCTGTTTTTATTTGAAATATTTTCATGCTGCCTTTCTCCTTAAAAAAGGGCCCAAGGCAGTTTACATCCAAAAAAGACAGCATTTAAACAATGGTGAGTATACAACTATTAAAGGACTGAACAAATATCATACTAAAAAACATAAGCAACATCAGGATAAAACATTAAAAGCAGTAAGGCACAACGATCCATTTAAAAACCTAACTAAGGCAGCAAGTCCCTTAGGGAAAGCTTGCCTAAAGAGAAAAGTCTTTCCTTCTTTGATGCATTAGGAAGAAAACTGTGGTTCTTGGGCTAGAACCAAATAATAGATCTGCCTTTGTTTGTCTTTCTTTGATCCCTGATAGCTAACAAAATTTTGAGCAAGGTTATGCTCAAAATCCTACTAGGTAGGCT